TGATACGTACACCGGAAAGATGTACTTCCAGTTAAAAGAGATTTTCTTGATAAAACCAGGAAAAACCAAAAATCCGGTTTGCAGTAAAATCGATGAAAGTTATTTGCAAAAAGACTCTTTTTCCACCAAAGAAGCAGTTAAAAACCCAAACTCAGCATTTTCAAAAAACACTTCCCTTCCGAGCGGTGTCGAAACCTCGTAATTTTTGTCCCACGCTATCGAAAAAGTCGTTATTAAGTATATCTAGTTCCAGAGAACTCAAACAACACATTCTCAGAGCGTAGTGCTATAATGTTTTCTTTCTCAATAGTGTGAAACTGGGAAATAGATTTCTCAGTGGTAGTGAAGGCTGTCAAGCTATAGCAGATACGGGTACAAGTCTTATTATTGGTTATACAGGATTTGTGAATGCCATACATAAAGCAATTGGTGCTAAATATTCATCAGCGGTGGGCAGTGTAAGTAGATAGATTATTTCGCCGTATCGTCAGGCCGAAACATACACTTCTGCCTCTCTTCTCGATTAGTATGTTGTGCCGTGTTCAAAAGTACCAGCACTACCAAGTTTAACGTTTACAGTGAGTGGTCGACCATTGAGCCTATTAGCATCACACTATATTTATAAAGCTATCTCATCAAAAAAAGTAACATATTGTATCAGTAGTCTAAGTGGAGACGATTCAAATCAAGATGAAGATGGGAATATTCTATGGACCTTAGGTATGTATAATTGAGATTCTTTCTTTGTATAGCATCCTTAATTTTGATTTCTTTATTTTGTTCTTGGGCGATTCAAGAATGACGTTCTGTAACAACGAGGCAGAAGACTTGACCAAAAACCTATGAAACTCAGAACAGCATGACTTTTAAAATTCTATTTAAACCGATCATTCACCAGCTGTTTTTAATTTGTAGACGATGTTGTGTAGAAAGGGTGAGAGCTTTTCCAGCCAAACAACATCGTTTTTCTTCCACTTCCCAGTTCTTAAATCAAAGTAAAATGCTACCAATATGCGTGAAAAACACTAA